ACACCGTCGTGTAACCCCGTTACAATGCGACCCTTCGTACCTTAGGTAGGGTCACACTAACCTTCCACTGTACCCAAGGTACACTCGCACCATAATGGAGCGGCAGGTGTGTATTATATATACACACCTTTTTGCACCCACGTTACACGGACAAAAAAAAGAACTTCGTCAATCGAGTCGAAATCGCACTAAGATTAAACTAAGTAACACACATATTACAGTGAAAAGCTACCGTGACTACGCACTATCTTGGCAGATGAAGAAATAATGTTCAAAGATACAGTTGTTGGGTTTGCTACAAATGTAATGAATCTAAATGTTTGCAAGATGGACGAGACGGGAGAAATGATTTCTGAGGTTATACAAGTTTTTTTGATATTTTTCTGACGCTTTGAATTCAAATTTTTTATTTTGACAAATTTTGTTTATATTTTGTCTATTTTTGGTGTATTTTATATGTATGAGGACATTAGTACACTTCCTTCTCGCTCAAGTACGCAAGAGACGGTACTTTCACTTTTGTGACAGATGCCCACTATTGTTTTACTTTTCGCACATTAAGAGACAACAACACATCTGGTCTACCAACTATGGCACAATACGGCAAGGCCTCTTACTGGGACGAACGCTACACTAAGTAAGTTCTATTTCTTTCTCTATCGAATGCAAATAACGTTGTGTATCTCTAGCCTTGACCTCTGGCATATTGTAACACGGTAAAAGTGATAAGAAACAAAGTCATTTTGACACTTTTTGTTTGGTTGTTGATACATTTAGAGACTCGGAACAATTTGATTGGTATCAGCGTTACGATGGTTTGAAACAACTACTGAATCAGTATGTGAAAAAGACAGATTGTATCCTTATGGCAGGTGCAGGCAATTCACGACTGTCGGAGGAGATGGTGAATGATGGCTACGAGAAGCTCATGAATGTCGACGTGTCAGAAATTGTGATCAAGCAGATGACAGCCAAGTACGAGGACCGCATCGAGCAACTGCAGTGGCAAAAGATGAACATGTGCTCATTGGACTTTGCAAACGAGACGTACGACGCTGTGGTGGATAAAGGCACGCTGGATTCGATCCTGTGCGGCGAGAGCTCGACGGCCAACGTGTCGAAAATGTGCCAGGAGATATACCGAGTATTGAGGCCCAATGGCGTCTACTTTGTCGTGTCATACGGCATCCCGGACAACCGACTTGGCTACTTGGACAACAAGGAGTTGCCGTGGAAGGTGACAGTGCATACGGTGCCCAAGCCCACGGTGAGTGCTGTGCAGGTCTCGGAGGCGGAAGCCAACGCCGTGCACTACATTTATGTGTGTCAGAAAATTGTCACGGCTGAGTAGATCGTGAGCAAGTGATTGATTGCTTTTGACAGCTACATCTCGACACGTCATAATATCGAAGCTGAAAAAGCACTTTTCTTTTTCAGGTGGAGAGAGGAACGTTTGGTTTTATAATGTTGCGTTACGGATGCTGTGCATGGTGGAAACATATGACAAGCTGAGCGGGCTTTCGCAGCTTTCGTGCCATATCTTGACAGTACCCAATATTGTTTTCCATCATTTCTGTACTGCTAATCCGCCTTTGTAGACGTGCTCTGGGGCTTTTGTCGGCCAATCTTGGTTTTCTACCGCCAATTTGTGATCTTGCACTGATAGCACTAGGCCGATTCTTGGGCGCTTGACTTCCTCCATAGTCTTGTACATTTCCAATGACACCATGAGCACCAAGCTTCCACTCACGCTTGTTAAAACTATCCATTCGCAAAATCTAATCTTTTGATTTTTCAAGAGTGTCGCCGCTCTCAACCAGCAACCCAGGCTGCAAAATACACAATGTTGCCTTCGCAGATGGAAATCAGTTGAAGCCGTGGTGCGTCGATGAGCATAGTAATTTGTTCATGCTCATGCCCAGAGCAAAAGGCCTCACTTGATAGTGCATTTGTGCGGATATCTCTCGTTGGCTTGCTTGATTCAAATTCAGTGCTGCTGTAATAGGTATACCGTCCAATGCTTGATCGAGGCTTGCACTTGACCAAATACATTCAACAAAACATCAAAATGCTCCATCAAAGCTGTATGCTCCCAGCACCTGACAGAAGCCGCTCGAGAAGCGCAATATTGTTAGTAGCTTTTGTGATAGCAGTTGACCTCACGACTGATTCAGTATTGAACTAAATGTCTGCAATCGTGTACAGCCGCCAAG